CCTAGGGCCTGCCTGGCATACTGTACAGTCTACCTTAGAAAATACTTCAGAACTTATTGTTCTGGTATCAGAGGTGTGGTGTATAAATGGCTTGAGAGTTACCTGAATAATAGACGTCAATATGTCCAAATTAATAGAACTAAATCACATTCTGAAACATTACTTTGTGGAATCCCCCAGGGGTCTGTTTTGGGGCCTAAATTATTTATTCTTTATTTTAATGACATCTGCAAAGTATCAAAAACACTGAAGTTAGTGATTTTTGCTGATGATACTAATTTGTTTTGCTCAGGGTATGACATGCATAAGTTAATTGAACAGGTTGAAACCGAGTTGACTTTAGTTAAAAAATGGTTTGACTTAAACAAGTTATCATTAAATGAGAATAAAACAAAATTCATGATTTTTGGCCCCTGTAGAGCTCATTCTAATATAAGATTGTACTGGAATGGGATTGAAATAGAGCGAGTCAATGAGATTAGATTTTTAGGGGTGATTATTGATCACCAGATCAGCTGGAAACCACATATACAATATGTCAAGAGTAAAATATCAAAAACAATTGGTATACTTTATAAAACTAAACATGTGTTGGATATTAAATCTCTGCATATAGTTTATTCTTCACTTGTGCTTCCCTATTTGTCTTACTGTTCAGAGATCTGGGGAACCACCTAGAAAACACATATAGATCCTATAATTAAAGTACAAAAAAGGGCAGTCCGTTTAATAAATAAAGTGGGTTATTGTGACTCTACTAATCAACTTTTTATAGAACATAACATGCTAAAATTTACGGACATAGTTAAAGGCACACCGTGTAACTCTTGGCCACTAGGGGCGCTAGACCTGCAACTTTCACGTTTAGCGCCCCTAGTGGCCACAAGCAACTCAGCACTGTCGCAAAAGTCAACAAACAGTCAGCCGGTGTCTTTTGAGTGTGTATTCAGACAGCATGCACTGGTGTGTGTGTTCAAACTGTAGAGACATGCCTACAGATATTGAGAGACTCTGCTGTGGTCAGCCTCCAGACCGCTGCATTAGTAATCTACCACACATGGACTTCTATATCCTGGATGAGGGAGTTCTGCGTCTAGCTCGTGCTGCGTGGAATGACATCTTTGCAGTCGATGACATCCAGGAACCAGGTGAAGAGCAGCGCTCATACAGACATGCAGCTTACAGCACGATCCCTTTCGCGTTTCCTCTTTTTAGCCTCCTCCGAAGGTTTAAAATTTTTCCTTGCCTCAGCCATGACCAGGAGTCGAGCAGGTGAAAAATGAGTAGCAAAAGCCTTAGCTCCATGAGTATATCAGCGCCTGTAGCCGTAAAGCAAGTCTTTCTTCCAAGTCACGTGACCTGGTGGCAGACGGTCCGTCTGCTCGAAACTTACATGGGCGGTATTTCAAGAGGGCAGCCCCGCTCGGAGCATTGCAAGTGTCAAGCGCTGTATATTGGCCCAAGTATTCATATAAAATAACTCATATGTGTCAACTCTTTAGGTCACAAAGTCCGCGGTGTGCCTTTAAGTAAAAAATTTTAGAAATCTTATTCAGAGTTGTAAAAACCAAAGAGATTCCTGTAGGTATTCAGTCTTTCTTCAAAATAAGAAAAAGTTGCTATAATCTGAGAGGTTTTCTTCAGTTGGAAACAAGAAAATCCATAACTAACGTTAAAAATAGATGTGTGTCTGTCATTGGAGTAAAAATGTGGAATAATCTTAATGACCAGCTTAAGTTAATTAATACATTATCATTATTTAAAACTCCCTTAAAATGTGAAATAATTAAGTCATATACCTTGTCTTAGAAGTAATAATAATAAAGATATAACAAAAAGAAATAAGTGAAAAAAATAAAAATACATTGTTCTACCAAATGTGTAATTTATCTTTTAAATCAGAAATGTGTACTTTTTTGTTTTTTGTTTATATAGTTGCTGTGTAGTAGCTAATGACCTGTATGTGTCATGATGTCAGGTTGGGCTTATACAAGCAAGTTGCTTCAGCCCAATCCTATTTTTGCTTGTAATATAGTCAGTGAATGTAATGTGTTATTGATCAAACAACTGACCAAAAATACAAATTTCATTCATTCATTCATTCATTGTGACACAAAACAATGAGAAATAATTTTTCTTTTTAGTCTTTTTATAAGCTTGTTCACTACACTCATCATGTTATAATTAATTACAAAAACTCCCTATCAAAGTGTATTAATCCTACAAAATCTAATCTTTCATTTGGCCCTCAGTGTTTGTATAGTCTAGATTAAAGATTAGGCTCTTAGCTTTAATCTGCAAAAAACGGCTTGTTTTTACCTTTTACCGTTCTGTCATATAATATAATATATAGTTTAATCCAAAATATTGCTCCAATCAGGATTCGAGTCCGGGCCTCGGCGTTGCAAACACTGCAACTTAACCACTTGACCACTATTACATTCAGTACGCAGTCTGCCCCAGGAAGGGTTTTTAACTGTTAATGAAGAACGTGGAAAGTTTTGCATCAGACGAAAAGTTTTTATCCGCCAACTCGTCACTGCAGGTAGCTGTTGCCTGTACAAGTTGACCGCTTGTGTCAAATCAGTCAACCCTCGGGGGCCCCCTGCCGGTTAGGGGGCCCCAGGCAGCTGCCTGCCTTGCCTATTGGCACGGGACGCCTGTCAGCTGAGCTCTCTGGTCTCTCTCCCCAGTCTCTCTCACTGGTCTCTCTGGCCTCTGTAGGTTTCCTGTTAGCTGAGGATGAGCAGTTTTAGTTTCACTGAGGTCCATGCAGAAATTTCTTTACAGCTCATGTGGCTGCGCCCATGACGCCTCTAAACCATGTGGAGACGGGTTTAAGGTAGCAATAAACTATCTGTGTAATGTAGTACATCCATGGTCAGTCCGTTAATTTGAAGGCCTGACATTTCACCCAACGCTTTGTACAGTAGAAGAGTCCCAAACGTAAACACATACAGTGGGGCAAAAAAGTATTTAGTCAGTCACCGATTGTACTAGTTCTCCCACTTAGCATAATGACAGAGGTCTGTAATTTTCATCATCAACTGTGAGAAACAGAATGTGAAAAAGAAAAATCCAGGAATTCACGTTGTAGGATTTTTAAAGAATTTATTTGTAAATGATGGTGGAAAATTTGTATTTGGTCACTTCAAACAAGGAAGATCTCTGGCTCTCACAGACCTGTAACTTCTTTAAGAAGCTCTTCTGTCCTCCACTTGTTACCTGTATTAATGGCACCTGTTTGAACTCATCTGTATAAAAGACTCCTGTCCACAGCCTCAAACAGTCAGACTCCAAACTCCACTATGGCCAAGACCAAAGAGCTGTCCAAGGAATTGTAGACCTGCACCAGACTGGGAAGAGTGAATCTACAATAGGAGAGCAGCTTGGTGTGAACAAATCAACTGTGGGAGCAATTATCAGAAAATGGAAGACATACAAGACCACTGATAATCTCCCTCGATCTGGGGCTCCACACAAGATCTCATCCCGTGGGGTCAAAATGATCATGAGAACGGTGATCAAAAATCCCAGAAGCACACGGGGGGACCTGGTGAATGACCTGCAGAGAGCTGGGACCAAAGTAACAAAGGTTACCATCAGTAACACACTACGACGACAGGGAATCAAATCCTGCAGTGCCAGACGTGTCCCCCTGCTGAAGCCAGTGCATGTCCAGGCCCGTCTGAAGTTTGCCAGAGAGCACATGGATGATCCAGGCCCGTCTGAAGTTTGCCAGAGAGCACATGGATGATCCAGGCCCGTCTGAAGTTTGCCAGAGAGCACATGGATGATCCAGCAGAGGATTGGGAGAATGTCATGTGGTCAGATGAAACCAAAGTACAACTGTTTGGTATAAACTCAACTCGTCGTGTTTGGAGGAAGAAGAATACTGAGTTACATCCCAAGAACACCGTACCTACTGTGAAGCATGGGGGTGGAAACGTCATGCTTTGGGGCTGTTTTTCTGCTAAGGGGACAGGACCACTGATCCGTGTTAAGGAAAGAATGAATGGGGTCATGTATCGTGAGATTTTGAGCCAAAACCTTCTTCCATCAGTGAGAGCTTTGAAGATGAAACGTGGCTGGGTCTTCCAGCATGACAATGATCCCAAACACACCGCCCGGGCAACGAAGGAGTGGCTCCGTGAGAAGCATTTGAAAGTCCTGGAGTGGCCTCGCCAGTCTCCAGACCTCAACCCTATTGAATATCTGTGGAGGGAGTTGAAAGTCCGTGATCACTGCTCTCAAGAAGATCTGCATGGAGGAATGGGCCAAAATACCAGCTACTGTGTGTGCAAACCTGGTAAAGACCTATAGTAATCGTTTGACCTCTATTATTGCCATCCATCCATCCATCCATTTTCTACCCTTTAATCCATTTCTGGGTCAGGGGGGTGGCAGTCAGAGATGCCACCCAAGTCTCATAGCACCAGCCCCTCACTGACCCTCTGCAGGTGGTGAGTCCACAGGAGGACGGCTGCTCTCTGAGTGTGAGCATAGCCTTGATCTTTCAGTGGGGGCTTTGGGCAAAGTGGGGTTAAGTGTCTTGCCCAAGGACACAACGACAGCAGTCATCAGTGGGAGTCGGTGGAGAAGGTGTCGAGGTGGGAATTGAACCCACAACCTTCAGGCCTGAAGGCCAATGCTCTACCAACTGAGCTACTGTCGCCCCACTCTATTAGTGCCAACAAAGGTTATATTACAAAGTATTGAGTTGATTTTTTGGTATTGACCAAATACTTATTTTCCACCATAATTTACAAATAAATTCTTTCAAAACCCTACAATGTGAATTCCTGGATTTTTTTTCCACATTCTGTCTCTCACGGTTGAAGTGTATCTATGATGAAAATTACAGACCTCTGTCATTATTTTAAGTGGGAGAACTTGCACAATCTTTGGCTTACTAAATACTTTTTTGCCCCATTGTATATGTTTTGATCTGAAAGTTAGGTACCTCAGCTTTATGGGCTTGAAAACCTGCTTCTGAATCCATGAGATCTCTGTATGGCCCCTCCTCCATTAGCTCAGCTGCGTTAGCATCTACTCAGTTCTCAGACTTCAGTGGTGATATTTTAGGCTTGCTCCGCCCCCTGAGAGCTGCGTGGGGTGTGTGAGCTGCTCTCGAGGTGTTGTTGTGCTGTCGCCGCAGTGACGGACCGGACGCGTGTCCCCGTCGTCACCGTGATAGACAGCGGTCTGAACGATGTGACTGGGGCGGTGTGCGAGGTCAAGGGGGAGTGTGTGTACATACGGCAGCAGGTTGACCCTCTGCTCAGTGGTCCTCGTTCTCTCTCTGCAGCTGTGGGTGATGGACAGCTCTACCACCTCTGGGCATGAGGATCCTCTCAAACGTCTCTAAACATGAAGCATGATACAATATAAAGCAGGAACCACAGGAATCAGTCGTTTTTATCTTGTTTTCAAGCTGAATGTTGAAAACAAGTCTGAAAAGAAGATTCCCCTTTGGGACAAGAGGGAGAAATGTCTCTTAAAAACTAGACATTTCTTTTAGTTCCTTTGGCTTTATGAAGTTTGTAAAAGAGAGTTAATTGACTAAAATAGGGATAGGATCAGGCTATTAGGATGTTAGGATGTAGCCTGTTAGGCTACATCCTAACGTAAGTAAGTAGGTGGTAATCTTTATTTATATACCACCTTTTCACTGCAACAAGTCTCAAAGCGGTTTACAATTGTTAATATTGGGCATTTGTCTCTCACTCCACACAGAGATGGGAGCGGGGTCGCCAGTACATGAGGCGCATGCCAGAACTATTGTACATGTTTTTAGTGGTAGGGGAAACCGGGGTACCTGGAGAAAACCTACGCAGACACGTCACGTAACTGTATTTAAATAGGGAACACGTGGAAGAGTTCGGTAGCATCTAACGGGATCTGATTTGGAACTATACAGTCTGTGGAAGAGGCTGCGTTTGTGCTACGTTTGCAAGACAGAGCACACGGACAAAGATCACACAGGTACATATCAACTAGTCTAAGGTAAGAACATGTGTCAGTCTGTAAAAACTGTGGCCTATTCCTTTAAGTATCCATGTGTTGATCATTATTCACTTATGAGCTGCACAACGACACATATTTGTTCTGAAACCTCTCTGCCGGTTTCATCAATGAGAGCCGTTTGGGGCGTCACCCTGTCTCCCCCTCATGCCCCCCATCCCCCCTAACGGTCCCAGTCTAAATAATTCAGCGTGCAGCCATTCCCTTCCACCTGAGGGGCTTGTCTCCTGGCGTCACCAGTGGGACGATTTAACAGCTCCTGAAAGGTCACTCCGTTACTTTTTATCCTCAAGCCTCGAACGCTGCACCATCAACCGGCCCCCTGTGCAAACACAGGGGGAGGGGGCAGCATAACTGTGGATGGAGGGGTTAGTGTCATGCTAATGAAGCGCTCTGTTTACTCCTATGCGTTTAGCCCAACCTTCAGCAAGGACGGACAAACAGCTGTTGTCTCTGTTCGGTCCATGTTCTGTGGAAGTTCTAATATTCATGGCTCATGTTTAATGAAATATCTTTGAACATGTGGGACGTGATTGGCTGCAGTGGAGGAGACAAGGTAAGGGAAATTCTAAATAAACAAAGTGGAATTAGACTTTCAACAACTTCTGATCAGTGTGGCTGTGTCCACACGAGTCCTCAGGTAAAGGGATTATTTAGAATCTAACTTTGACCTCCAGAAATCACTGTATTGCTAGACCTGCGACTTGTACTTGTAGATCTGCGACTGTGGAATATGGAGCTTCAGTCACAGAAGCTGAAGGTCTTTGTGGAACCGAGAGCTACATTTCAAAACATTAAAAATAATAATTCATTCTATTTCATGGCACCTTTCAAGACACCTAAGGACACTTTACGAAATATTAAAAACATCACACACAATATCAAAGGTACAGAATATAATACATTTTATATTGTGATTTTAAAATGTCCAGAGAGTCTGTTGCAAGTCAAGCGGGAAAGTGTTCCAGAGTTTGGGGACAGAGTGGCTGGATGCTCCGAGTGCCTGTGACCTCAGTGCAAGCCAAACGTTCTAATAAAACTGCATAAGAGATGGTATCAAGCTATTGTTTGTAATTTTGGCCAGTGCGGTTTCTGTACTGTGTGTACTGTAGGGCGGAATCCAGATCTAAAGGGCTCAAACATACTTTTATGATAAAGATGGCCCTGAAGCTGACCTGTCACTGTGTTTTCTTCAGCAGAGGTGTGACTGAGGCAGTTTTGAGCAGTGGGGGGACGGTACCGGAGGACAGACATGTAATATGGTTCTAATGGAGTGTTGGTGCACAGTATTAAACATACACCGTGGCACGCAAAGCATTTCCTTACAGGCCACAGACTGTCTATGAGAAGTGTGACATCACCACAGACTGTCTATGAGGAGTGTGACATCACCACAGACTGTCTATGAGGAGTGTGACATCACCACAGACTGTCTATGAGGAGTGTGACATCACCACAGACTGTCTATGAGGAGTGTGACATCACCACAGACTGTCTATGAGGAGTGTGACATCACCACAGACTGTCTATGAGGAGTGTGACATCACCACAGACTGTCTATGAGGAGTGTGACATCACCACAGACTGTCTATGAGGAGTGTGACATCACCACAGACTGTCTATGAGAAGTGTGACATCACCACAGACTGTCTATGAGGAGTGTGACATCACCACAGACTGTCTATGAGGAGTGTGACATCACCACAGACTGTCTATGAGGAGTGTGACATCACCACAGACTGTCTATGATGAGTGTGACATCACCACAGACTGTCTATGATGAGTGTGACATCACCACAGACTGTCTATGAGGAGTGTGACATCACCACAGACTGTCTATGAGGAGTGTGACATCACCACAGACTGTCTATGAGGAGTGTGACATCACCACAGACTGTCTATGAGAGTGTGACATCACCACAGACTGTCTATGAGGAGTGTGACATCACCACAGACTGTCTATGAGGAGTGTGACATCACCACAGACTGTCTATGAGGAGTGTGACATCACCACAGACTGTCTATGAGGAGTGTGACATCACCACAGACTGTCTATGAGGAGTGTGACATCACCACAGACTGTCTATGAGGAGTGTGACATCACCACAGACTGTCTATGAGAGTGTGACATCACCACAGACTGTCTATGAGGAGTGTGACATCACCACAGACTGTCTATGAGGAGTGTGACATCACCACAGACTGTCTATGAGGAGTGTGACATCACCACAGACTGTCTATGAGAAGTGTGACATCACCACAGACTGTCTATGAGGAGTGTGACATCACCACAGACTGTCTATGAGGAGTGTGACATCACCACAGACTGTCTATGAGGAGTGTGACATCACCACAGACTGTCTATGATGAGTGTGACATCACCACAGACTGTCTATGAGGAGTGTGACATCACCACAGACTGTCTATGAGGAGTGTGACATCACCACAGACTGTCTATGAGGAGTGTGACATCACCACAGACTGTCTATGAGGAGTGTGACATCACCACAGACTGTCTATGAGGAGTGTGACATCACCACAGACTGTCTATGAGGAGTGTGACATCACCACAGACTGTCTATGAGGAGTGTGACATCACCACAGACTGTCTATGAGGAGTGTGACATCACCACAGACTGTCTATGAGGAGTGTGACATCACCACAGACTGTCTATGAGGAGTGTGACATCACCACAGACTGTCTATGAGGAGTGTGACATCACCACAGACTGTCTATGAGGAGTGTGACATCACCACAGACTGTCTATGAGGAGTGTGACATCACCACAGACTGTCTATGAGGAGTGTGACATCACCACAGACTGTCTATGAGGAGTGTGACATCACCACAGACTGTCTATGAGGAGTGTGACATCACCACAGACTGTCTATGAGGAGTGTGACATCACCACAGACTGTCTATGAGGAGTGTGACATCACCACAGACTGTCTATGAGGAGTGTGACATCACCACAGACTGTCTATGAGGAGTGTGACATCACCACAGACTGTCTATGAGGAGTGTGACATCACCACAGACTGTCTATGAGGAGTGTGACATCACCACAGACTGTCTATGAGGAGTGTGACATCACCACAGACTGTCTATGAGGAGTGTGACATCACCACAGACTGTCTATGAGGAGTGTGACATCACCACAGACTGTCTATGAGGAGTGTGACATCACCACAGACTGTCTATGAGGAGTGTGACATCACCACAGACTGTCTATGAGGAGTGTGACATCACCACAGACTGTCTATGAGGAGTGTGACATCACCACAGACTGTCTATGAGGAGTGTGACATCACCACAGACTGTCTATGAGGAGTGTGACATCACCACAGACTGTCTATGAGGAGTGTGACATCACCACAGACTGTCTATGAGGAGTGTGACATCACCACAGACTGTCTATGAGGAGTGTGACATCACCACAGACTGTCTATGAGGAGTGTGACATCACCACAGACTGTCTATGAGGAGTGTGACATCACCACAGACTGTCTATGAGGAGTGTGACATCACCACAGACTGTCTATGAGGAGTGTGACATCACCACAGACTGTCTATGAGGAGTGTGACATCACCACAGACTGTCTATGAGGAGTGTGACATCACCACAGACTGTCTATGAGGAGTGTGACATCACCACAGACTGTCTATGAGGAGTGTGACATCACCACAGACTGTCTATGAGGAGTGTGACATCACCACAGACTGTCTATGAGGAGTGTGACATCACCACAGACTGTCTATGAGGAGTGTGACATCACCACAGACTGTCTATGAGGAGTGTGACATCACCACAGACTGTCTATGAGGAGTGTGACATCACCACAGACTGTCTATGAGGAGTGTGACATCACCACAGACTGTCTATGAGGAGTGTGACATCACCACAGACTGTCTATGAGGAGTGTGACATCACCACAGACTGTCTATGAGGAGTGTGACATCACCACAGACTGTCTATGAGGAGTATCTCTGATCTGTTGTTGGTAAATCCACACCTTTGCAAAGTCTTCCGGGACAACTGCTGTTATGATTTAGGGCGATACAAATACATTGAATAGAATTAATAATTAGTATTTTTTGTAATAATTAATTAATTTGTTAAAATACATATAGGTTTAGCAACTCAATAGAAAAACTGTCCAAAACTGCATAAATTAAGAAGAAAGTGTGTGATGTAAAATCCCAGTTCTCTGCAGCTCCAATCTGTTTGTTTGGGCCCAATGTTCAACCCGGGCACAGAGTAAACACTGCGCTGATGCCTACACTGCACTCAGACTAAGTGCTCTCTGCGTTCTCGCGCACT